TGCTCAGCAAGGCTGCATTTATTTGATCAAAAACAGTAATATTGTGAAAAATTACATTTTAATAGAACTTCAATAGAACTTCAAATGTAATTTATTCCTGTGATGCAAAGCATCACATTTCAAAAATATTATAGTTTTTACTGTAATAAATGCAGCCTTGTTAAAGATAAGAGACTTCTTCTTTTTTTTTATCCTAATTATTCCAAACCTTTGACGGGTTCTGTATGTTCCGGCTGTGTTGTGATCTCATGCCCTGCCTCTCAATGCAATGCCGTGTTTTCTGAAACGACAGAAAGTCGGCACTATTCTGTTCGCCACAGTCTGTTAAATGGTTTTGACAGAATGAGGCAATGTTTACCATTTGCCTTTCTCATTCTATAAACCAAGCTGACAGGAGAAATGAGGGACATGATTCTTAAATCCCTCCAAACAGCCTAAACATTCTTTGCTTTCTCTCTGTTCACCTCTACAGGCGTTCGACTACGAGCAAAAGAAGTTATTGGCAACCAAAGGTATGTGCTTGACAAATCAAATCACAGTTAAAGCTATATACAGAGCCTTAAAGAGTGTCTCCCAGCCATCTATATTGTTAAAAACAATTCTGCTGGTAGGCTGCTGGGGGAATTGGAAACCGGTTGTGTTTAGTCTAGTGTGCCAGCAATGAACAAAGCAGGACTACAGTGTCTTCACAGGCTGAATGTCTGGCAGTGAGTAGGGTGTCATTAAAGCCCTGTTTCACATTTACGGTAAATATACTCTGCCTCATAAAGCTTCTCCACACCTCACGTCCTGTGTCCAGCGTTCTTTCTGTAAACTATGGACCTGAGAATGAGGAATGCACCCAGTGTTAACGCTTTTCTTGCCCGCACACTGTAAACAGTTCTTTGTTAATGATTTATGTTGGAACTGTATGGAAATGTGGCACACAACGTTTTATTGTAAAACTTTTGAGTTTTGACCGATTTAGCACAGTGCAGGTGAATTTGGCATCAAATTCTTGATCAACTAATTATAATTCCTGATTCCTACATCTCACAAAAAACAACAGTAACATTCATTTTATTGAATACCCCCCAGGTCATGTTTTACCACACACTGGCATAATTTTTTATTTTATTTTGTGAGTATATTAAGCTCTTTCAGAACTATTTTGTGTTGTGATATTATTTTCATGACAATTACTTCACAATTCCTCCAACAAAATTCTATGTAAATGTACCCAAATTAGCCCAAAGGCTAGTTTTCATTGGTAGTCCCTTTGCCAGATGTTATTGGCCAAAAAACTAGAGAAAGAAAAGAAACAAAATAGAAAAACAATAACAACGAAATTCAACCAAAAATTATAAATAATTCTCTAAAATACAGTTAAACAACAAATTATACAAAATGACAATAAAAAAATAAAGAAATAAGTGATAAAAAAAATAAATATAAAAGCAGCTTATCGAGATAAATAAACAACATTAAAGGGTTAGTTCACCCAAAAATGACAATTCTGTCATTAATTACTCACCCTCGTGTTGTTCGAAACCCGTAAGACCTTCGTTCATCTTTGGAACACAATTTAAGATATTTTTGATGAAATATGAGGGCTCTCTGACCCTCCCATAGACAGCAATGTAACTACCACGTTCAAGGTCCAGAAAAGTACCAAGATGATCGACAAAGTAGTCCGTGTGACATCAGTGGTTCAACTGTAAAGTTACGATTTGCGGTACTGACCCAGATCCGGCGTAATGACGTCATCACACCGGATCTGGGTCAGCGCAGGCGCCGCCACACGCTCGCGTCATGGTACTGTCGTGAACGCGCGTCCAAAGTGAAATTAGAAATATGATAGTAAGAGAAAGATTAGTGGCATACCTAATTAGATTTAGGAATAGTTCACTTTTTTTTTTTTTTTTTTTTTCATTTCTAAAGTATGAGTTTATTTTTATTATATAAAGCTCTTTTTTTTTTTTTAATTCATTTTCTACACAGAAAATAGTGTACACAGAAACAGAAAGCAATGATAAACACAATGTGTGTCAATACTAATAAAATAAGGTACAAAGCAACTACTACAAAAAAAACATCTTCTTCTGTTTCTATGTTCAGCCATGTTAAAGAAGCCAGTGGTGACGGAGGTCCGAACCCCTACTAACACGTGGAGCGGTCTGGGCTTCTCAAAGTCTATGCCTGCAGAAACTATTAAGGAGTTGCGCCGGGCAAACCATGTGTCTTATAAACCTACCATGTCAACTACATATGAGGTAAAAGCAGACCAAGCAAAAGGGCTAAGCACCTCTCTCCTATGAATTGCTGTACACTGATAGTAGTTCATTTGGTGCATTCAGTGTGTACAGTACCATATATTGCTGTGTTCTCACTGATGACGATTAGCTCTATTATTATTTTGTATTGATGCATCACTGCGGGTTTTTAGTGGAATAAACTTGATATGATTTGTGTTTTATAAGGGGTCACCTCTAGCCCTGTCCCGCTCCAACAGTAGAGAGGGGGTGGCGAGTGGCAGTGACTCGGATAACTGGAGGGAAAGGAATGGGAGCGGGCTCCCAGTACACAGCGACTTCCCCTCTCCCATCAGCCCCAAAAGGAAGCAGAACAAAACAGGTGTGCTCTTCAGTCGGAATGACTGAGCTTAGTGATTGTTTTTTTTTGTGACATGAATTCAAAGACGTGTTTTAATTACTTATGCTTAAATATCTCAATTACAAAATATCAGTATAATAGGATATTAAAGGTAATTTAAAAGATCATTTAACTTCACAAGTGAAAGAATTGAGACGATACAAGGCAACTCTGTTAACAAGCACTAATATTGCTCCTCAAGCAAACTACACAAGGAAATCAACTAACTAACAACTAACTAGCTAACACATCCTAGTTCAATATATTTTGATGTTCGAATGTTGCTAACCTAAGTTAACATCCAGTCTTTTTAGCACTGTAAATCACTGTTAGTGCCTTTTTGAAAAAAGTTAATTTTAACATGCTCTTACAAAAGAGTACTTACTACAAAAATATTATACTTTAAAAGATTATGCAAACTGAATGTAATGATTTTGGAGACTTAGTTGCGTTTAATTTGCAATTTCAGTAAATGAAAATGTATTAAAGTTTACATTTATATTAAATGCAGTTAGTTGAGAGTGTTTTTGACTTAACTAGGGCTTAACTAGGACTAGGACTAGGACTTAACTAGTACATCATTATATGTAATTATTTATATTGACTTTGAAATATGGTTAAAGTGTACTTAGAAAGCTACTGACAAGCATTTAATTTATGGTAAACTGAAATCTAATCTTAATGTTCTCTTGAATCCTGGATAAATTTGAAAATATTTCTACTTTAAATGTATTATAACACACTACAGTTAAAAACTTAAATTACAATTAAATTACAGTCAAAATCAAGTTTTTTCATATGCTTTTTATGTTACACATAAAAAAAATGTGCTTTTTTAAAGCATCACAAAAAATGACGACAAACTGTGATTTTAGAATGTACCTAAGAAGTCAACTTTTAATTTGACATTATTATAAAATTGCACTTTTTAAAAGTTTAAGTGTGTTCTGCTCTCTTTTAGTACTTTAGGGTTTTTGTTTCATCCATATTATATTATCAGCAAGTGCAGTTTTTGAAAAATATATTTTTTAAATTTGATGTATATTACAAGTGCTCCTTCAAAACAATTAAATACACTTGTTTTTCACAAGGCTATGAATGCGGTTTGGCCAAAACAAGGTATCTGCAAAGCCTTAAAGTGCTGATTGATAACCAGGTAGGCACTTAACCATGATTTTATGTATTTTGGATTAGAGCACTACCTAAGCAGCAGCAACTACATGGACTGCATCTCGTCGGTGATGGGAACTAATGGCTGTAATCTCAACACATCTTTCAAAGGATCAGATCTGCCTGAGCTCTTCAGTAAACTTGGCCTCGGGAAATATACCGACGTCTTCCAACAGCAGGAGGTACAGACGGAGCTGCTGATATCTTCTCTATCAATGTTGTTGTTTGAGATGAGAACATTTAAATGAGCTTTAGATGATTTCTGCCACCGGGAGGTTGTTTTTATGTCTTATGACTATTAGCGCTTAGCCTGTTTAGGCTGCACAAAGTGCACGGAACTCAGCAGAAATCATGTTGGAAATGCACTTTAAATCAGTCTTTGGCTAAATAGGCTTTTATGAAGCAACATGAAATACTGGAGCGACCAGCTGACTCATTTTTTGAATGGCTTGACAAGTTGTCAGGCTTGAAAAGTTCCACACAACAATTTGGATGTAAATTTTCCATTTCTCATATATATATTGGATTTCATGACAGTCAGGTCTGTAATAATTCTGAATGACCAACTCCAATTTAATGGCTTTTAATCAAATAAATTCTCAATGTAGTAACATAGAGATGACTTCATTTTCTGTGGAGCCACAGCTCTGTTACGCAGCAGAAACACTGTCAGTGTGACAGCTCTATCTGGCTTGCATGTATGCTGTCAAACTGGCCCGGGGTTACAATGACGCAACTTCCAGCACAGAACTGAAACCCTCAGAATAGCCAAAAAGATCTGTAATTCACACATTATGCCAAGTCCTGTATTTCAAGATGCCAGAGATAACATTGAGGAGTACAAAATTTGGTTCTGGCTTTTATCTTATAAACATATCATCAGAAAGTTAGAGAGAGCGCTGTGGTGCAGTGGTCAGTGCACATGCACTTAGTCGCAGGTTTGATTCTGCACTGTTGTACCATTCTCCCTCTTTCTCCCCACAGTAATTTTTCTCTAAAAGTCCAAACTAAAAATACAGTTTGTGTCTGTTTCTCAGATTGACCTTCAGACGTTCCTCACGCTGACCGATCAGGACCTGAAAGAGCTCGGCATCACTACATTTGGAGCCCGCAGGAAAATGCTGCTGGCCATTTCAGGTCAGTTCCCTTCCAAACAAACAACTGGGGCTGGCACAGTAGCATTACCAGCAACATTTCACAATTCTTTATACCTTTCTCGATTCCACAGCAATCAATCAATCAATCAGTAAGTGCAGTCAATCGATTAACTCCTAACATTACAATTTGTAATCCTAATTATAGTTTCACATTGAATCTCCAAAAGTAATGCAGAAACATCATGAAGACTGTATAATTTAAATATCCATCTATTGCTGTCTTTTACCATGAATTATAAATAGTCCAGTATCGCCAATACCAAAACTGTTACTGATGCCTCTAAATAGATTTTACTCAATTTCTGGGAATAAATAGAGAGACAATATAGCCATTCAAAATTATAGTAAGATTTGTGCCATCATTTTAAACATTTAATAGACCTAAACTGTTACAGAATATTAAAAACTTTTAATTTAAGTGAGCTTAAAACAATGTTCACATAAACCCATTATAATAAATGTCACATTTGTCAATGCCTTTAATATAGTTCGTTGTATATATTACTATAGTGATGCTTCTGTTGATATCATCTATGTTTTTCCCACTAAGTTTATTTTGTGCATTCATTTTCATAAATAAGAAAATTAATAAGTAAAACAATTTGTAATTTTTATATTTTAGTATTTACACTTATTTCTGCAATTTCACCTGCAGGTCTTCATCACTGCGACAAGCATGTTACTGACTTTATCAAAAACAGGCAACCAGACAGCCACATTTATTATTAATTATTTATTAGTATGTACTCAAGTTAACAAATAGCAATAAAGCTGGCATGTATTTTCAGGTATTTCTCAATTATTTATTTATTCTGGCCATTTAAAAAAAAAAAATGGTTTTTTGATTAATATCAATGGCAATAATAGACAGGTGGCAGGTCTGTTAGGTTGATTGTAATACACAGATCTGATATTTTTGTTGTATATTCACCGAAGACATACTGTTTGCAGTAATATAAAGAACTTCGTTTGACTGTTCATGCACACAGCTGCATTACCGTGAGCACTTTTCTAAGAGAACTTACTCAAATACATATGTGATTATTGGAAAACAGCCACTCGTTATTCAGACAGCCCTCAGGTACCAAATTGAGTCAATATTTAATGCAGAAACACTGGTCTTGTTACATTTCTTAAGAAAGTTTAGTATCAACTTGATACCAACTAACACAAAAATAACCGTGATAGCAGATGGACACAACATGCCATGCAAGATTTTCCTTTTTAATAGCTTTGAATAATTTGGACAGCTGCAGGTATTTGGGATTACGATTATGATTTATTGAGGTGTCAGAGATTAAATTGGATTTGGCTTTCCACTTGTGTAACCGGCAAGGGTTGACTGACTGTCCACATCCCAGCATGACAGCAAGTGGAAGTGACAAGCTTGGCCATTAGACATCTCGAACATCTGTGATATATTTTGACCACCCACTGCTCGATAACCATAATGACTTCCTGCAGTCTGGCAAGGATATTTACTAAAACAAAAACATTGTTCCTGTTTTATCAGCCCCGTGGTTGGAGAATAAAACACAATGCCTGAGGTTGAGGTAGCCCTTTCACCGTTAAAAATGAAGTTGTGGTGCAGATGGGATACTAAAGTGTAGAGGTACGAGGAAGACAGGAAATGACTGCAGGCCTGTGTTTCTTTCTCTGACTGACCTCGGACACAATTTACTGTAATCTGGGCTGATGCAAGTTTGGTTCCAGTGAGAGAAATGTCCTGCCTTTTGTCCTCTACAGCAGGAAAATGGAACATTGGCACCGTCAAGCCCACTTACATAAATGAGATCTGTCATCTAAAAATCATAATGCAAAAACTGAGCTGTCAAAAAACTAGTGAGCTGTCAACATTGGCAGCGTTTTAAGGTTGTATACCTTATTTTGACCAATTTTTAAGGCACACTGCAGGAGAATGCCACAAGCTAAATAAAAAAAATAAATCAAAACGAGAAAAATGTTGATTAGAAATATATTATTCATTCTTTGCTGAAAAGTATTAATAAAAATAAGATATTTATTTTAAAATGTGCTGTTTTACCCAATATTTGTATGTATATCTGTATGTATAATTACTAATGTATTTCATGTTGTAGAACATGAAAATATCTTGAGCTTCAAAATATCCACTGATTTCGGGAAGATGGAACTGCTAACTTGATGGAAATGCTATCCAAATCAATGTTAATAATTTGGTAGAAGCGGTTGATTCATCCATGCATTTGTTTTATATTTTAAAAAATGTTTTGACCTTGTTATTTGCAATATGGAGAAAAGATCTGTCACTACTTCCATTTTACTGTGATATTGACATGCATGTATGCAGTGTAAACTATGAATATTTAAGTATTCTTTTTGTTTTGACAGAGCTGAACAAGAACCGAAGGAAGCTCTTTGAGCCGCCCAACATCCGCTCCTCGTTCCTGGAAGGGGGCGCCAGCGGTCGACTGCCACGCCAGTTCCACGCAGACATTGCCAGTGTGAGCGGGCGCTGGTGAGCCCATGCCAATGCACCAATGGATAGCCTGAAACTGCACAAATTCCCATTCCCAACTCCAACCTGATATACAGTACTGGACCAAAACCCGGACCTTCTGAAACTGTGCCAAATAAACACAAAAAAAGTCTATGGATCAGAGGTTAAGGGTCAAAGAACTGTTGAATATTATATGCAGTATGGTACATTATGCAATATGGTACTCATGTTACAATGAAGGAAATGCAGTGAATGATCATTGGAGCTCCTGCACTGTGCTTGTATATGGATCAGGCAGATTTTATTTATATGCTTGTCTTAGGCTTCGACATACTAATTCTTTGCACTTTAAAAAATGCTAAATATTTTGTCCATGGACAGATTCGCCTGACTAGATGCGCCTGGATTTTATTTAAAGCACTTAAATGGATATCAAGCCAAAGTGTTCTGCACAAATTATCCATAAGGGAAGCTTATCTCATCCCACAGTGAAATCACCAGCCTGTTGTTATTACTTATGGATCTTAGTCAGAGTAGACAGCATATTGCATTTGAAAGAAATGAAATGGAGTGTACGTCTATCCCTCACAGGCTTGTTTTCATTCAGGTCAAATTAAAATAGTCTACCCTGACTGAATTCCACAGTACATTGTCTATATAGTATTTCTAAACCTATAAATAGTTTACTTTTAAAGGGAAAATGAAAAATCTACATTATTTTAGTATATGACTTTAGTTCTTCTATGGAACTCAAAAGAAGATACTTCAAAGAATGTTTCAGCTGTTTTTGTCCATACAGTGAAAGTTAATTGAGTGCACTAGTTGGTTCTAGAAGTATTTTTGCCATTCATTTTTTTCCCAAAGGGATTATGTAAAAAAAAAAAAAAAAAAACTTATTTTAAAGTGTTAAAAGCTAGGAACCAAGTCATTTTTTGTACAGATGCATGGGTAATGTAATATTTCACCACAAATTCTGCTGTTATAAACAATTATTTTAAAAATGAGTTGAAAATACAGCTACAACTGGGGTTCAATCGCTTTAAGGAATTTGAGCACATATGAAAAAAGATGTATTATTATTTAGCAACCACCCAAATCAATGATTTAAAAGAGCATTTTCTGGTAATTCCAGGTAATTTACCATAGAAATATGACATTTTTTAACATTTATGGCTGTTATAGCAACACCTATAGTCCAATATCCATAAAAGTTGGCATGCCTCTTTAGTATTATATGCTGCATGGGCTCACCATATTTCGTAAAGTTCCGAGTTTTCGTTCAGGAATTATAGGCTTTTAGGTATATTTGGCCACACCCATAGTTAACCAAAGAGTAAATTTCACTTCTTTTTTTTTGATAATTATTGACCTAGAGAGTCCAGAGAATTGTACTGCAGTGGTTTTGTTGAGATTGAGCAAAAAAACCTATAGGACTAGTTCGCAAAAGTAGTTTTTTTTTAAATAATCTTGAATAATTAATGAACGATTTTTTTGACAATAGTAGTTCTTGAGGAAAAGTTGTTCAGAATGAGGAGATCTAACATATGATATGAATATTGTGTGTGTGGGTAAAACGCTGCATGATTTCTTGCAAATTTCTCGCAGACCTTTAGGGCCATGAGTCAAACAGGCCCACGGCATTACATTCTGATCGGCCTCTGTTAACCCCCATCTAATATGTGATCACAATTCATTGGCGAATTACGGCCATGATTTTCAAGATAAATGAACGTGCTCATAGACAGCGGTGGCACTTTGGACACAGACACTGTGTGTGAATTTTCAAGTCAATCAGACTAACGGGTGCATAGTTATAGCCATTTTTATGTTTTAGTCCTATTATAGCGCCACACAGTGGCCAGACTCTTTTTCTCATGTAACCTCAGATTGAGGTCTTACATATGCATATCGAGTTTTGTCTAAATTTCTTATTCCATTGAAAAGTTATAGCTGTTTTAGGAAAAGTGCCCCTCTTTCGAACGTTTTGGCATCCCTTTACGACGGTGAGTCGAAAACGAATTTTTTTTTATTAATTTTTGATATTCCCTCTCCAGAGAATTTTTTTTTTTTTTTTTTGAAGTTTATTTCCGATCAGGTGAAAAACCTAGGACTAGTTCGCCAAAGTAGGCTTTTCAAAAAATACAAAAGATTCTGTGGTGATTGAATCCGTATAATATAAGTCATTTGAGTCTTCAACAAGTACTTTAGGAGTTATTAGCGATTTCGTACTTTTGACTGCTGTAGCGCCACCCTCAGGCCAATCGGGGCAAGCCTTGATGACGTTGTAGACATGGCGGGTACTACCAACCCTCAAAGTTTCAGGTCTCTACGCCTTATGGTTTGGTCTGCCCGATCACTTTTAGGTCAGAATGGTGATCTTTGAAAATCGTAACAATTACGATAGGGTTTCAGCGCTACACGCTTGAACCGCTCGCTAATAATGTGAACAGATGGCTTTAACAAAACATTTATCTCAGAGCTCACAACAGTCTTTAAAGGTTTATAAGCTACCATTAAAAATCAGTTTTTAATTCTAACCCAACTCTTGCACTCTTTATGGTCCAAGACAACATTAGACACCACTGACTTTCAATGTATGGACAAAATATTGTTTTTCACAGAAGAAGGAAAGTCATGCAGAATTTTTGGATAACCTATCCGTTGAACTGTTAGTTTTAGAGCTTAATGTCAGCCTGTCAGTAGTAGCTTTCTCAATAGCGCCTCAGAAGTGCAAATTACACCAGCTCTCTTTCAACCACCTTCCTGAATGCCACAGACCACAAATCTTCACAGGCCTCACTCCCCAAACCGAGCTTTTTGTAAAGCTTTGAATTCCTCTCAGACCAGATCACGGCTTAATCCATGGCTTTTCTCCTGCACGCGACCAAAGTCTGTGCTGCTTTCTTGAGCTCTAGTCTTCCTACGCCCTCTAACGCGTTTTGTTTGCTTCTCTCTTCTCCATCTTCTCTCGCCATTCTTATGTGATCCCAACACGCTCATCATATTCTTCAGATATTCCCAAAGCGAGTTTTTCAATTCTGACTATATCTAAAGCTGTGAATGTTGCCAGATGTACTCCGAAGGATTGAAACCACCAAGTGCCTTTTGTCTTGCACTGACAACTTTTCCAAAGTAATCAAAGACTATCGATCTCTCAAAGGTACAAATGTTTTACTAGGAAGTACCACTTACAAGTAATCTCGCAGTGCATTGCTTTATCTTTACATGTACGGTATATATTTCGTATTTTCATTTAGCTCTTGAGTACGTTGAAATTGTACCTCACGTGATAGAGGTACTATTTAAGTTTGTATTGTCTTATTATGAGTGTTTATAGACTTTTTAGCAGTTTGCTTTGATAATTTACAGACAGTAGCAATCAATCAGTTTGTGTAATGATTTGTAATGTTTGTTTTTTAATCAGATTGAGATGACAAATGAGTGAAACAATAGCTCTTGGTGTTGCCTAAAAATATTAATAGTAATAATAAAATGCAACAGACTATGCAAAGAATCACTTTGCCATTTTAGATTTTAATGTTTCCGTTTAAGCACATACTGTACGCTTTTATTGGTTGTCTCTTGTTTTTTAAAACGAATGAATTTTATAGACTTTGTTTTCAGTAAATTGCTTGATACTGTATATCTTAGATTAGTGCCTTTTATATGCATCAAATGCCACTTTAGTGAGAGACCAAGTGTAATTCGTGTGTAGAATTGTTTTGTTCTCTCCCTAAGAGGGAAAAATAATGGACAAATGACGTCTTAATATTCTGACATGGCCAGCACATTTTTGAGTATTTTTGGCCAAAGTCAAATGCGTAACCTCTGGGTTATGAGGTTACATACATCATGTGCACAAATATACAGAGCAGTGATGTAAAAACGGGATATTAAAGCACATTAACCAGTATTGTTCTTCCAAACGTACATTAGCTGGCCAGTGCCTTGGAAATGACTTTTAAAATCTGTGAGCTTGGCACAGATTTTGTAATATACTCCATTGTAATGTTCTCTGATGATACATTTGTAAAATTGCCATAAATGTGGTATCGCTGAATGTTCCTTACAAGGTGTTATGAAAGAATAAAGCATATGCAAACCTTTTCCATCTTATGTATTCCGCTACTGCTTTGTTTGTACAATGGCATTTAAAGGGATAATTCACCCAAAAATGAAAATTCTGTCATCATTTACTCACCGCCAAATTGTTCCAAACCTGTATGAGTTTATTCCTTCTGTTGAGCACAAAAGAAGATATGTCGGTAACCAAACAGTCGCTGGTAGCCACTGACTGAAAAAAAAATACTATGGAAGTCAATGGCTACCGTCAACTGTTTGGTTACCAAGCATTCCTCAAAATATCTTCTTTTGTGCTCGACAGAAGAAAGAAACTCAAACAGGTTTGGAAAGACATGAGGGTGAGTAAATGATGACAAAATGTTAATTTTTTTGGGCCTGACATCTGGTTGGCTTTGTGTATTTAAAAATGTGTACTTGTTACATAATGACTCATTTCCCTCATTAGTGACAATAGCATCTGTAAATGTCTGACTAAACTAGATGTAGTGGCAGTAGAGGGGAAAGACTAGCGTAAAATGTGCTTTAAGATGAACCGCACCCAGTAATAGCTTATGAGGCTCTGACTGATTACAATATGTCACAAACATGTTAGTGATCTCAGTGAAATCCTTTGCTTAAACACACACATGGACTTTTGGGAAATGGATGTTCTTTTATCTGTTTTTATGTCACAAGCAGATATGAATCTGTAAGGAACAGAACAAAGAAGTGCAGTCTGAAAACTGGGTGTAACTGTTTTGATATTTTACTAGATTGTGTTTTTTCTGGATTATCTCTGAGCGTACTGTAAATCAGGCCTGGAAATGGAACAGGACAGCTTGTGGCTGGAACAAGAGGAAAAAAAATTAATTTTCCTCTGGCAAGCTCGCATTCCAGCTTTTGAATCTCGCCACATTGTCTGGATTGTGGATACAATGTGAAGAGAGTGTCCAAGGGTTATTGGGAGGATGAAATATTTTATTTCACCACAAAAAACTCAATCGCACGAGAATGAACTCATCCAGACATCTTTTCATAAACAGATATAAACATGAAAGAAAGAAAGGAAGTTATTTATTCATTTAGATTGAATGTGTGTACTCGCTTAAGCTGGACCAAAAGAGCTTATTTTTTTTCTAGTTCTGGTGAACAGACTATGTTGTGTCACAATGTATATTCTTTTGAGAAGCTAAGGAGATTTTTGAACTCATCTATAAAATGGATGTCTTTTTTTGTCTGATCAGATTATCAATCCCAATATCAGATACCATTGCAGACTCTCTCAGATTTTGTCTTTGTAATAATATTTAGCAGAAATCAGACACTGTTGCCATTTTCTGAAGTGAGAATTTATGTGAATAATATAATGTAATTATTTAGATAGTTATATAAACATTAAAGTTTATTACGGCCAACATATCATATTGGCAATTAATATCAATTTGTGTGTAATAGCTACCGACATCAGTTTATTATATAACAGCAAGAAATGTCAAAAGAGTGTATGGAGGTGTTTTCAATAATATTTAATAAAATTTTTGATTAGATAATTTTATGACTGACAAAAAAAAATATTCTAGTGGAAGTGAATGTAAAAGCTACCAAACCTGAATTCCACAGTTCAGGTTTTTTCAGTTAATTTAATCTATTATTAATATGCTCATTAATTCACATTATGTTTATTACATATGCTCATTATAAATAGGAGTAAGAAGAGTTACATCTCACAATAAGAGTTTTGGTCTTGGATCAGTGTTTGGCTTTCACATAATTAAGAATAAATGATTACACTTTATTTTAAGGTGTCCTTGTTACAGTGTAATTATACATTTAAGTACTGAGTAATATTAATGAACTACATGTACTTACTATATGGTTAGAGTTAGGATTAGGGTTTCTTGCATGTAATTATGCATAATTAATTGTTATTATAATAGTAAGTACATGCAACATGTGTAACAAGGACACCTTAAAATAAAGTGTTACCGAATAAATTAATTTGTTGTTTTTACAGCATCAAATATAAACGTCATAAATACTCTATATTTCTGTAAGACGTTAATGAGCTTTGTGTTTATGCCTTTATTAATATAAATGCGTTACTGTAGTTTGTTCTCCAACAGGGGGCGCTAAGGCATGAATTTGATCAAATTTGACTTTAAAATACTGGTCCACCAATATTTAGCTTTATTAATTATCTGCATCTGTCAATAAGTTTTCCTTTTTGGTCAGTTAGTGTCAGATTTATATTTCATTTCTATCACATGGAAGCACTGATTAAAAACAGTAGCCCACATTTGTACATGAGAATAATAGATTACCTCAGAGCAGCAATATTTTCATTATCTATTATATATGAATGTGATATACCTGGATCTCATCCATCACCTCAAGTGCCTGTATCATCTTCTCACACGCTGGTGGGTTTTGCCTCTGTTTTGCATTCTGTATGTGCTCATGCACCTTATTTACATTCAGAAGCCCTACTGCATCCCTTACCAGCATAACAATCATTTGTATATTAGATTTAAACATCAGTAGAGAACTGGACTGAAACATTTCACCTCGTCTGACACTGACCTTCATGCGTTGACAGGAAGACAGGTCATATGAGGTGATCTGATCTATTTATGGGATGTACAATCACTGTGAAATACGGCCCGTTATGTAACGGACCCCAAACCACTGTCTCTTAGACACACGCAAACCTGGACAAAACAGAAAGGAGAATATGAAAAATCAACACTAATACGCTTTTTTTCTTTCTTTCTTTCTTTAGCATTAAATCCTTGTCCTGATTAATTTTGCCACAAACAATGCAGACTTTACATGTCAGTAGAATAATTAGGCACAAGCTATAATCAATAGTGTGTTCCTCTAGTCATTACAGCCCTTGGCAATACAAACAAATCATTTAAAGCTTTGTGAAGGTAATTTTCTATGAAGGAAATGGAAAATCTACCATCAAATATA